TGTGAGTTAAACCACAGAGCCTAGGACTTGCCGATCAGAAGGTCGGCGGTTCGAATCCCCACGACGGGGTGAGCTCCTGTTGCTCGGTCCCTGCTCCTGCCCACCTAGCAGTTCAAAAGCACATCAAAGTGCAAGTAGATAAATATATACCGCTCTGGCGGGAAGGTAAATGGCATTTCCGTGCACTGCTCTGGTTCGCCAGAAGCGGCTTAGTGATGCTGGCCACATGACCCGGAAGCTGTACGCCGGCTCCCTCGACCAATAAAGTGAGATGAGCGCCGCAACCCCAGAGTTGGTCACGACTGGACCTAATGGTCAGGGGTCCCTTTACCTTTACCTAAGGAAAAGTGGGACATTCAGGGATCAAATCAGAAACCGGGACGGCTTCTGCAAATCAGGGACATCTCTGGAAAATAGGGACACTTGGAGGGTCTGCATAAAGCACTGTCACACCACTTTAACAACCATGGGGACTCCTGCAAACTGTAGTTTGTTAATGGTGCTGGGAAGTGCAGTGTTGTCCCTGGGGAGTTCCTGGGATGGACCCACCCGCCACTGCTCCTCATCCAGCCAGCCCCTGACAGCAAGTGGAGATTGAATGACAGCAGACTGAAGTTGGTGCCCTGTTTGGCATAATGGACCAGCATCCATTGGAGGATGGTGTGTCTCCAGGTCACCCAGTTCCTTAAGTAAGGCGCATATTTCGTGTTAGTTTGCCAGGTTGTATTTCTCACCGGTGCTGGCTGACGTCAGGACCTTGTTGCTGTGTCTTCTGGCCGCCGAAATGGTGAGCAGGTTGCACTCCGCTGGTGCTAACACAAACATGAGTTTATTTGGGGTCTCGATTTGCTTAACCCGCTTACCTCAAGCCTCCCTTGACAGCTGCGGTGGACTTATAGCTCATGTTAAATTTTTTCACACTCTCTTGGAAGGTAAGAAGACCCTTGAGCTCATTCTGATTCTCTTTCTGGACACTCTCCAAAGCCGGCTTGCCGCGCTTTTTCCGGGCCAGACTGCAGCTGCAAGCAGAATGTGGGCCTGCCTAGCTCTCTCTGAAAATAGTTGTCTTTGTTGTGACTAAGTTATCTGGGGCCCTTTTCGCAGCAGTGCCTTTATTTGATTGACCGATGTGCCTGCAAGTTATTTTCAAATCCAGAGTTATTTCCAATTCTGATGTAAGATCTGATTTGCTAGTGGGGTGGAGTGAGACTGTACTCGGTGACACCTTTTAATCCAAAACCAGAAGCAAGTTGGTTTGTTGTGTAAAGTTGGGGTGGGGGGTGTTTGTTTTCAGAAATACCGATGGCCAGGTTCAGGCAAAGGGCGTTCTACCTTCCATATTGAATTACATTTCCTTGAGGCAGAACAAGTTCGTTTCATGCTTTCCAGAGATGTCACAGTCTTTTAAAAAGACATTTTCTTTGCTTACCATAAAGAAAAACAAAACACTGCTCTGTTCAACAGCCTTTTTGTGTGTGTCAAGTTTACAAAAGTAATGGAATTCTCTGCGTTGTGGCAGTTGTCAGAAGGAGGTTTACATGGATGGGTTTTAAAGGCCACGCGGATAATGGAAAGATGGCTTTCCACTAATGCTGAGCTTTCTTGGACGTTTTCACTCCACTCAAAACGCCCTCCCTATTTTGGACCGGTTTCCCTCCGCTGCCCTGGTATTTGAAAAGGTGTGACAGTGTTTATAGGAAAATTCTAAAATCCAGACTTTTATGTGCATCACTGCGCAGCAACAGGGCTGAGAAAAAGCTGATAGGCTATGTGGGTTATGATATCGTTGCATTCACTATGCGATGCCTTGATTGCCTGGAATCACATTATGAAAAAGCTCTTTAACCTTTTCTTTTCTTCTGAAAGCCAACCACAAAAGTGGCAGCAAACCAAGGAACAATGAGTGTGAACAGACATGAACTAAGCATAGGATGAGGGACTTCTTCACGACCCCATTAACACTATTTGAAACACATAAAAAATTCAACGTATCAAAAATTCAATATAGTGCTTATGATGTTTTATCAGATCCACCAGCAAAAGCAGGTATTCACTTTACTCAATGTTGTTGTGCATTTACCGTACTTCTTCTTTTCATTTATTTCTATTATTTCCTTTAATTCCTTCTGTTTCCTTCCTTTCTGGAGATTAGCTGCCTCATGTTCCTTCAGGCAGTACCCTAAGCCCATACTCATGTAATGCTTTTAAATCTTTTCAAATGTTGTTAATTGCTTTTAGAAGTTTGGAATGTGTGTTTATTTCATTTTTACTTGTACAGTGGTACCTCGGGTTAAGTACTTAATTCGTTCTGGAGGTCCGTTCTTAACCTGAAACTGTTCTTAACCTGAGGTACCACTTTAGCTAATGGGGCCTCCTGCTGCCGCCACACCGCCACCACACAATTTCTGTTCTCATCCTGAAGCAAAGTTCTTTACCCAAGGTACTATTTCTGGGTTACCGGAGTCTGTAAACTGAAGTGTCTGAGGTACCACTGTATTGTTTTGCTGCTTTGCTGATCTGGGCTCCTTTGGGAGGAAAGCTGGGCTACAAATTTAAATAAATAAATAACACGCAAATTCTTTTTTATTATTATTATTCTCACTGGCCTTGCATATAGCCATGATGGCTATGTTCTGCCTCCTGTGTCAGAGACAATATGCTTGTGAACACCAGTTTCTGGGAATCTCAAGTTGGTCGGGTGCTGCTTTCTAGCTTCCCATAGGCATTTGGTTGGTCACTATGAGAACAGGATGCTAGACTAGATATGGCACTGGCTGGATCCATCAGGCTTCTTCTTAAGTTCTTATGTATATTAGAAAGGTGCCCTAGAAATGACTGAACGTGATGCTCGTTTTGACTGGTTCCCTGCCATCGTTTGGTTTCCTTGTAATTGCGGTTCACTGGCTTTGGAGCTCTTGGAAACACATGTTAATAGAGGTTAGAAATATACACAATTAAGCAGAAGGAGCAATACCTGCCCCACAGGTATGGTGGGCTCATCATCCATCCATAGCTGCAACCAGAATGCAGTTCCTGCAACTGCTTCCTGGCATGTGGCTTGCAGCTTGGAGGCAGTGCCTACGTATCACACCATGTATGTTTGTTTGCATCAGTTTCTCCCAAAATAAGTGCACATTCAGCGCACGCCTCCACTCCGAGTGGCAGTTTTCTCGCCAGGGTCACAGGAGGAAGGAATGTGACGAATACATTCAATGGCTCAACAACAGAGCTTCATTCATTAAAACGGCAGCTAGTTCCTTCAGCTCAAACACACTCCTGTCTAATTGAGGCCAGCTATTTTTCTTAATACAAATTCTATTCTCCAGCTCAATTATAGTGCATTGTAACGGATTGAAATGGCAGAGCCTAATTAGCCTCTTGCTTAGATGATGACAACAGGCTACAGGTTTTATTTCACATTCCCAAGTATATGGACAAAGCCACCCCAAACCCTGCTCTGTTACTCTCATTTTATGAAGACTGTTTTCTTTCTATTTCAGATGTTTACTTTCTTATGTTGCAGCGGGTTGGGGGAGGCAGTGGTGACTTTGCAGAGCAATATAGCTTCTAATGATCAAACAGCAAACTTGCTCCGATATCAGCTTATAAACTTAAACGCATCCCAAATCAAATGCAGCCAGCTAGCACCGGCATGGTAATTATGTCAGATTTTAAAGGAGAAATAAAAATAGAACTCTTAAAAAGAGAATTCCAGTTGGGAGAACAAAAATGGCTTTCATACATATTTGTGATGTAAGTACTAAAACATGAAAGGGGTGGTGGGATTTGGTTTTAAAAGGGCTCGTCGTGAATGAATCAAACTCTGATAAATTGGAACATGGTGAAAAATGCACTCATCAAGAATAAAGAAGATTAGTGGCATCTTTCACATCATTCAAGCTGCCTGTGTCTAGCTGTAATCAATGTTTCAGTAGCAGAATCTGACCATAATAAGTATTAACTAGGCTTCACACAGCCCTGTACTATTCCACAAGGTAATCCAGTTTTGTATTTTAAAAACACAGTTCAAATGCACCTTGTTATAAATAAACATTTTTAGAACATACAAGTAAGGTAGGATTCTGAAACTCTGTTGGGCTGAGGGCAATGCGGCTGATAAACAAATTGAACCATGGGTTTTCTAATAGGATTGAGGTTTTCAGCCAAATATCTTGCATGGTGGTTCTGTTATTTCAAATCAACAGTCTTCCTTGATGTTCAACAGCAGGGTCACTTATGTGTGCTGCCGTCATCTCTAAGCAGTATACAAGGAACACAATACAATGAAAATAAAAATTGGTTCAAATGCTAAAATTAGAATCTACTTATTATGTCTGCTGGAATGAAAACAGGCTTTGGTAGATACCAAATGTATCAACAGGGAGGGGAACTATTTGACCTTGTGTTCTCACCAAATGAACCTCGTCTGTTGGTGGAACTCATAGGAGGGTCTTCAAGCCTTCAAAGATGATCTTAGTATGCAGGCAGGTTCATGTGGGAATAGGCAATCCTTTACATATCTGGGATATCATTTTGACTTTTTGTTTCAGGTGTGAAACTGTTGCAGGCCAGCTCTTGTGAAGCATCCATTTGAGTTTCTCTCAGATTCTCATTCCTTTTCCAATCTTAAGTTCAGTTCGACCCATTTTTGCATCAGGTTGCAGTCTGCTTTGCAAATTTTGGAGAAATGTATAATTTGAAGGAGACCTGCATTTCCATTCACACATTGATTTGGGAAGAACCCAGTTGGTTCCCTATTGTTCTGGGAAGCTTGTGGGAATGTTCAGGGGTGGCAGGAGAGGATATACATGTATTGTTTATAAATATCCTTCTTTATGTAGCAGAGTTACATTCCCCTTCTCAAACACAGCAGAAAGCTGGTTGCAGGCTCATTAGAACCTCTTACTATTATGCAATTCAATCTGCCTCACTCCACGTCTTCCTCTGCAAATTGCCTCCTTCTGCCGATGGAACTATAGAGCTGCAAAGCTCCCCCTTAACGGTGGATTTTTTCTGCCTTGTGACAGACTATGCTCTGGGGAAGGACTGCATCATGCACGGGTACATGCTGAAGCTGGGGAACCCCTTCCTGACTCAGTGGCAGAGACGCTATTTTTACCTCTTTCCAAACCGGCTTGAATGGCGTGGAGAAGGAGAGTCACGGGTGAGTTGGGCAGCTGGGCTGGCAGGGGGATGTCAGTGGTGTCACATGATGTCAGTGGTGGTGGTGGGTGCTCTGCCTCCTCTCCGGTATGCTAAGGCTTGAGGGGCCAACGCAGGAGGGGATATGCCAAGCTCCAGGTAATCTTCTTGTTTTCCTGTTTAGGACACCTGGCGCACTTACACAAAAAGACGCAAGCGGGTAAGGCAATGAAACCTGCCTAGCAGCAGTTCCCAAAGCACCGCCCCTACAGGCTGTGAGGAAGTGAATCCAGCTCCTGTGAACCCCAAATGGCCACCCACAGAGCTGGGAGGCTGGCTGGCTCTTTTGCCCTTCTCCTCTCTTCCCAGTCTGGCTCTGCTGGGCTGGGCTGGCCAAGGCTGGTGGGACTAGCTGCCTGAAACACCTGGAGAGCACCATTTTGGCTGAACACAGCACTTCTGCTCTTGAGGCTGAAGAATTACCACCCTCTAAGGGAGCTGTCCCAAAACATCTCTAAATCCGTCGCTTCTCTGGGTTACTTTTTTCACCAGGCAGGAAGTGTGCCCAGATCTGTTGTGGGCTCCGCTTGTGGCCCTTTTTCGGTTGCAAAAGTGAAGCTCTGCTCCTTGTACTTTCGATTCAGGTGAAGTGTGTCACAGGTCCTTTGCCTTTGGGAACTGCTGCTTTGTAAGGATGACCCCGAGTCTTGCCCTGTAGCAGCTGTAGAAGAGAGCATCTTTGTTGCTGCTTTAGGGGAAATCACCAGGGAACATCCCCGCTTCCCTTCCCCCAGAGCTCCCCTTTTAACTCCTGCTTTTCGCAGAATTATGACTGATTTCTTTCCGCATCCTTGGGCCCCATCGAAAATGGTAAACTATCCATGAAAGGGCTTTGGGGACACACACCCATGCTAGTCACAGAAAAAGGCAAAAGCTTGCTCCAGAGGGCAGGATTAGATCTCAGGGCTGAACATGAGGAAAAGCTGAGCCATTGGAAGACGTTGCCTAGAGGGGTGCTGGGCTGTTCCACCAGCCAGAGGTCTTCTTGCAAAGTCTGTGCAATCATCTGTTGGAGGGGCTCGCTTGCTGAATTTCCTGTATTGAGTAGTGCAGTAGGGTGGACTAGAAGCCTTCGTCTGATCCGACTCTGTTCACTTAAAGTAAATCATTGGGGGGGGGAGGCCATATTCACTTCCTGTCTGAATACTCATGAACCACCTGGGGTAAAAAGGTCTGTGTCTAATCCCTGACCACTGGTCCTGTTAGCTAGGGATGATGGGAGTTGTAATCCCAAAACATCTGGAGGGCCAAGTTTGGCCATGCCTGGTCTACCTCCATAAGGTAGGCATAATTGCCACCCCTTTTCCCTCTCCATAAATATTGTAGAGCCTTCAGTATTCAGCATCTGAGAAATTTTCCAAGCAATGACTTGGGGGTTGGGTAGGGAAGGCAGGAAGAAGTAGCCATTGCTTCTAGGCTTAGATGCCAAAACCTGAAACATCAGCTTGGTTTCCTTCACCCACCCACCCTGGTCTGCCCTGTGGGAAAAGATTGCCCTGTGGAAGGGAAAAGGCCCACCCTGTTGATTCTCCAGCAGAATCAAATCTCAGCCGACTTGCTGCATGTCCTCTCTCCCACCCCAGGAGAAGACAGGATGGGTGGACAGGAAGCACGCTGGTGACCAGCCCCCCTGCAAAATGCCCTTATCTACTTCTTAGATCTTTCCCATCCAAGTTTGAGGGGGGCAAAAGGAGAGATGAGGACTTGGGTTTGGCATGCATGAACAGCTTTCAGAAAAGTGTAAGAAAGGAAGGGATTCCCCCCCCCCCACACGTAGCATTTTTTAAATTAAGACTTTTGGGGTCCTTTGCTTAACCTTTTTCTTTGGTTTGACAAAGCCACAACCCTTGTGATGCTGTGCACAGGTTGTGACATTTATGAGTTGCCTTGTGAGGAAGTGCCAGTTCTGTAGAGAGAAGCTAGCTGTATTGCTGCTAAGATTCCTTCCTTTTCCAAAGTCCCACCTCCCACCCCCTGTAAGCAATTTATGAAAACCCAAGGAAGCTGGATTAGGGTTTTGGCCAGTTTCATTCTCAGGGCTGTGGTAGCAGCTGGGCCTTCAATTCAACCTGTCTTTCCTTTTTGCTTCCTTAGCAAAATTTGCTGACTATGGAACAGATTTTGTCGGTGGAAGAAACTCAGATCAAGGACAAAAAATGCATCTTGCTCAGAATTAAAGGGGGGAAGCAGTTTGTCCTGCAGTGTGAGGTAGGCTGTGTGTCTTTGAGGGATGAGGGGAGGGAGGTCCTGAAGCTTAAAGGTCTTTTTAGAGGTGGGGAAGGTTTGGGTTCAAAACCCAAAACTGTTAATGTAGGAAATGCTTCCCTCCACACACATGAAAATAGCCTCAACCTGGAAATTGAGCATGTTTTGATTATCTAAGTAAGCCCTTTCAAGTGCTGAGAGCATACCCTCATTGTCCCAGTAATCCTTAACCACCACCACCAGTATTATTGGGGAGGTGCTGAAAGCCAGAGCACCCATTTGCTGTGCAGAAGGTCCCAGATTCAGTCTCCAGCCAATTAGAGCTGGGAAGATGACCTCATCCAAAAACTGAGGGAGCTGCTGCCAGATAATACTGAGCTTGGTGGATAATACTGACCTTGGTGGACCAGTGATCTGCTTTCTGTGCTCCTAAATGTTCCCATTTTGCAGATATGGGAACTGAGACTGATAGAACAGCGTGGTTGCCAAAGCAGTCTGCTGAGTTTATTGGAGTGACAAGGTTTGGGCCTGTGAATTTTTCTAGCTCACATCCGTCGGGATTGTCACGACCTCAGAAGCCATCAGTGATTGAGGCATGGTGTTGGAGGCTGCAGCATCAGCTGCTTAGGAGCCAGTCCTATCTGATTTATGGGGCTCCTGCCAGTGCTAAGGGACTGGCAGGAGCCCCATGAATCAGATTCTTCCGCACCAGGGCTTGTAGAACTTGGACACTGGACCCACATGAGCACCTTGCCCTGAGCCTGAGGAATGGAGCACCTCAGCCACTGCCTTGCCTGCTCAGCAGTGCAGGGATGCACAAGGCAAGAACTTATGAAACACAGGGAATGTGCCCATCCTGAGGCCAGAGGGCTAGCCCTTTAAGAAAGGTGTGGCACCAAATTTCTTTTTCTTTTTTTTCTTTTCTTTTTTGATGTGTTTTAAAATTGTTTTTGTTTTGTCTTGTTAGTTTAATGTTTTTAGTGTTATGTAGTGTCTTGTATTGTATTGTTTTTTCTTGGGTTGTTTTTTTTAAGTGCTTAAATTGTTGTAAAAGTAATAAATATTAATAATAATAAAAAAAGAAAGGTGTGGCACCTATGAGAGGTAGGCTGGGAGGCAGAGGCTTGAAAAGCCTCCAAGCTCTCGCTGGAGCAGGTCACTCATCCAGAGCGACCTGCCTTCTGCCTGGGGCTCTTCTGCCACCGCAGGGCAGGGTTTCACTGCTCTGCTGTCCACTAGTTCTTTTAGGAGCATGCAGTGGGCATGGAGAAAGCTGGTGGGGCCTTTAAAATAGCAGAACAACAGGCCGGGTGTGCCGCACCAGCAGTGACTTTGGGCATGTTTCTTCCTTAAATATATTTTGAGCCATTTTAGCACATAAGATACCATTGTTGGCTAATGCAATGTTGCATCCCTCTTGGGTACTGAGAGCACACCTCTTTCTGACCCCAGATGTCCGTAGGAACAGATTTTGTTCTATTAAAGTTCTGTGTTTCTGAGGACTGTAAACTTTTTTGAGAGAGTGATTCCCTCATTTAAGTTTGCTTTAGCCGCCCTCCTAGGAATTCCTGAGACATTTGCTGTCTGGCTTACGAAAGCAGCTTTGTGTCTGCCCCAACTCCTTTGGAGAGGATCAACCAGTCTTGCACATGCCCCACCACCCTGTGCAATAAAATAGTTGCATGCTTCCACCTTGCCCCTGCCCCTTTAGAAGAAGAAGAAGAGTTTGGATTTGATATCCCGCCTTTCACTCCCTTTAGGAGTCTCAAAGCGGCTAACATTCTCCTTTCCCTTCCTCCCCCACAACAAACACTCTGTGAGGTGAGTGGGGCTGAGAGACTTCAAAGAAGTGTGACTGGCCCAAGGTCACCCAGCAGCTGCATGTGGAGGAGCGGAGACTCGAACCGGTTTCCCAGATTATGAGACTACCGCTCTTAACCACTACACCACACTGGCTCTTTGAGCATTTGCAAATAGCAACTTTGAACTTGCTGGAGTCAGACTCTTTAGCTCCAATAATGCCTACACTGGCTGGCAGTGACACTCTGGGATCTGAGGCACAGAGTTACTTTTTCCCCACTCTTCATTTTACTAGGCATTCCAAGAGTCAGATTAGGGACCTCTGCAGGTGCTCCACTGAGCTGTGGGCTCCCAACTTCCGGTAGTGTTTGTCTCTATCTCTATCAAGAGTCTTTCCTCAATGAGTTCAAAACTGTATGAGACAAGTTGTAGTTATCTTGCTGGTACAATGGATTCTGAAGAAAAAACTGATTTTTGTGTGTGTGCATTTGTTTTTCCCCAGAGTGACCCAGAGTTTGTACAATGGAAGAAGGAACTGACCGAAACGTTCACAGAAGCACAGCTGCTCTTACGTCGGGCACCCAAGTTCCTGAATAAATCCCGCTCTGCAGTTGTGGAGCTCTCCAAGCCCCCCTCAGCCACAAGAACAGCAACGGCCTTTAGGACCCAGGCAAGGAAAGGCTGTGCCATTGCAGGGGATGTCTGTCTGTTGCTGCATCGCTGTTAGTTCCTTGCCCACTCCCCGGAGTTGGGTGAAGGGCTCAGGGGCAAGTGCTGAGCTCAAAAATAGTGGCACAGGGACCAAGGCCTCAGAGAAGGCCGATGCAGCAACCAGGGGATGGGGAGGGGAGTTGTTGCCAGCAACGGAGCAGACAAAAGAAGTGTTTTGCACTCCCAGGCAGCTTGCACTCCCAACAGGGCAGCCCCCGAAAATGTTGCTTATTTGCAATAAACCTCTTCAGGTGCATACTGTAGACTTGCAATCTGAATGGGCAACTATCTGATTTTCATGACTGCATTTTTATGCCACGGGGCTGTGTGTTGGACCTGTGGAAAGAGTTGCCACCTTCCAGGGTGGACTGACTCCTCCCATGACATCACCAGTGACTTCCTATCCACATTCTGTTCTGCTGGCCACCAACAACATGTCTCCTTTCCCATGTCCTTGGAATGGACCTGAACTATGTGTCCTGTGGTTTTAAATGTTTCCTGCTGCTGCTTGCTGCTGCTGCTTCTAGGGGAACAAACACTTCGTGCTGGACTGTACTTGACAGCAGATGATGATGAGCTATGGGCAGAAACCGTTTGTTTGTGTGTGCGCGTGTGTGCTAGTGTTGTTCAGTTGTGTAAGTGTTTCTCTCTGTGTGCTTTTCCTGGGTTTTTCTTTTACATATTTTTTACTGCTGGTTCTGTTAGACAGGTTTACGGGGAATGCAAAATCAGCTTCTCTCCATTCCTGGCCAATGGCACTTTCTTTTAAAATGTTTAAAACAATCCAATTTTAAGATCCTATTGGATTGGGTGTGGATTCTTTGCTGTCCCAAAGTGTCGCCCTGACAATCTTGTCTTGCAAGGGATGCTGTCAGCCTCAGGCAACTGCAGAGGGAACCAGCAGAAAGGAAGAGAGAGTGACACTGGGGGGTCATGCAGGGGTCATGCAGAAATGACTGGAAAAATGACCATTGGCTAACCACCCACATTTTCAAATAGTTAATCACTTTTGCAGAATAATATTGGAATCCCTTTTGTTGGAGGACATTCTGTAGCATATGATTCTGCATTGATGCTCTCCTCCCCAGGCTCCATCATTCATTATTGTGCGCATGTTCCTTCCATTGAACCAATGGTTCATCTTGTATGGTTGGTTGTGCACAACTTCTGCAGCCCAAAGAATTGTGTTCTCCAAGAAAAGCAAGGCTAAAGTCCCCCAGTCCCTAGAATTTGTCGTAGAGCATCACTCTCTGTCTCTTGCATGTTAAGGAGCTCGGGGTGGAGCAGCTTTGAGTGGGGCTCCCCATTCAATCTGTGATCTAGACACTTTTCTCCATGGAATGGATGCATTTTTTCTTTTGTTTGACAAATTGGCACTTAAAAAATTATCTTATTAATCTGCATTTTAATACATTCCAGGTTAGTTACAGTTTTTTGAGAGTGCTGCTAAGTCCGTTCCCTGAACCTCCAAAACTGTCCTCTGGGACACAAACTTGGCAACTATTCACAGCCAACTCCTGGCTTTTCCCCCCTGTGGAAATGGCCCTCTGAGGTTCCAGGCAAGCATCCTTTTGGCTCCATACAATAAGAAGTCCTGAAATGTTTTCTGCCTCTTCTAAGTAGCTTCTGAGTTAAGGAATTTGGAACCACAGCAACCATGGATTAAGGATGTCTGCTGACCATGGTTGCATTTTAGGGTTGCTAAAGTGCCCCTGTGCATTCTTTGGTGCATTCTTTGCACCAAAATTCTTTTAAGTTGTGTTCTCTGTATTCTAAATTCTGATCAGATCCTTTGTTTCTTAGATCATACCTGCAGAGTCCCTGCTAAGAGAAACCGCTGCCTTGGGTTGGTGCATCCTCGGAGCATGCACAGAAAGCCCCTTGGCCCTCCTGCCTGGAAGAGGCCACATGACTCCTTGGGGTCCTCTAGTCTGTTTGGCTATCCCTGAAGCCAAATGTGTCTGGCTGCCTCTGCACATTCCACTTGGACTTCCCCTTCTTTCTTACCTTTATTAGTTCATTTAGTTCCTTCAGTTAGTTCTACGCCTTCTTAGCATGGCACCCACGGCCTTGTGTTGGTGCTATGTTTCAGACTTATCATTGGAAGGAACAGGGCGTTGCTTTCTTTTTTGGATCCGCTCTTATGAAGGGGATGTGAATTTTAAAAACTGCTGTGCAATGACCTCATTTTTGTAAACATTGAGTAAGCTATTATTTAAAATAGCCTAGGTTTAGATTATTGTTTTTCCAGAGGCAGCTAAAATGCTCTGTAATGTAATAATTCCTATTTTCATTTTAGCAAATTCCCAATAGCAGTAAAAAATATGAATATGACCTCATTTGATTTCAGTTCTGCTGTGCTCTAGAATATTCTCAAATTTTTATGGAAGGTTTGTTTTTAATCTGTTATAAGTGGTCTTAGTTCAACTGCTGTGTGTGCAGAGAAGAATCCAAGGGACGCATTTGTTGTATTTAAGTCCTGGTTGAACACAGATGAGCCATGATTTCATATTTCAAAGGGACTCAAATGCCATTCACCTCTCATGGATGGTCGGGAAAATATATGAATAACAGGAAGGAAAATGGCTGAAATGTTTTGGCATTTCACTACTGGAAACAGTAGTGAAATATATGCGTGGGCTTCTGAAAATTGAGACTTATAACCCTAAATATATTTTTAGTGGTGATGCTGTTTTATATTGCACGTTGTTTAACTTTCTCCTTAAGTTAAATTAAATTTTGGATATTTCTGTCTCCTCTGCACACCCCAGGAGGGAATTTAAAGCATACATGTAAAAGTGACATGGATGGTGATTAAACTGTAGGCTTTTCTGCTCAGCCCATTGTTCCATTTTGGACTTCCTATGCTCTTCAAGGCTTGGCAGTTCATTCAGCAGAGCTGTGGGGGGAGGCGAGGAGAAAGAGCCTGCAATGGAATCAACACAGCTAAGTGATTGCATCTTTATATAGGAAGATAATTAACCTGTAATAGAGTCAGGAACTTGAAACCATTATAAGGAAATTAGGTAAGTAATTTCCTTCGTAGTTTTTGCAAGCACAAAAAGACCATTCCTAAGAATCACAAGAACTTCAGAAGACGTTGGAAGTATGTTGAAATATTAATATTATATATTTTTATCTAGTGTTTGTTTGGGCACGAGAATGAATGAATGAATGAATGAGTGAGTGAGGTGGTCTTGCACTCTGACCACCTTTAATGCTTTATCACTGGAAGGAAATTTGTTGTGGTTTCTGGTGTATGATCAACCAGACGGTCACCCATCCAGTTTGAATGACATAAAACTGGTCACCAGTACTTGACAATCGTTGAGCTGTGACTGTGTGCAGAGGAGGGGACTGCCCTTGGGGCAATGCTATGGGCCTCCATACTTCCAACATAGGGAGGGAGAATAGGGACAGCTCACACTGTGCACCATGTTGATCTGTTGTGTGAAAAACTCTTTGTCTCCCCAATAATCCCTGTGCATGCACTGAACTGCAGTTTGAGTCCTCTGTCTCCAACCCACCCATCCCCACACCACCACCTGTCTCTTTCTCAGGTTGTTGAGACAAGAGACACAAATATCCTGGGAGCTTTTTAAAAGGACCCTTTAAGGGAAGGTAGAATCGGGTGCTCACCCACCCAAAGGGTGCTCCGACTCTGCTTATTTTCTTTTTTTATATCTTCTTATTTTTTAAAAGATTGTGTGCATGTGCAAAGCTGCTCTAAATCTTAAGCTGTTGCAAAAGCACTATTCTGACCATGTACCAAGTGGGTGTAAAAAGGAATCTTGTAGTTTTGGCAGGGATGCAACACACTGAGTTTGCTGCAGAGGTGAGTTTTGGAAATCGTAGTGTTACATTTCAAATTTACATTTCAAATTGCAGTGTTAAATTTGAACTGTCCTGTGGTGTGGAATCTGTGAAATATGTCCTGTTTGCACCTGGTGCCTAGAAAGAGTAAGATCACATCCTGCAAAGAACAGCACTTGAATTAGGATCTGGGCCATTGGTTGCTACCAAACTGCCTCATGAAAGGTTTTTATGGGTGGGAGACTGGTGTGTTCTGCTCTCTCGACTGGCTCCTAGTGATGTGTTCAGTATCCGTGAGTGTACACAGTTGCAATCTATATCCCCCCCCCGAGCAACACAATCTTGTTGGAGCCATTTTTGAAGGTATCTACCATCTTGGAGCTATGGTGTATTCATACTCTTCAATAAAAATGTAGGAAGACTGTGCTGTAGACACTAAGGACTTACAGTTGTTTTAAACAGCAGAGGACCAGTTGACAGTAATATATTTTTTAAAAAATATTGAAGGTATATTATTAACCTAATTAATATAATTTTGAGTAATGGGAGGAAATTAGTCTATATATATTGTATATCCAAAACATCTCCTGTGATTCATAATGGTTTCCCTTTCTGTGTTGCCTGCTGATACAATATTCCATGATGTAAATATTATATGGGCTAAGCATGGAGAATGGAGAATGTTAATACATTTGTTAAATCAATTTTTAATATTTTTGTGTTTTTGTTACTGTACCAGGTTACTTTTATCTAAGGGAGTATTTTAAAAAAAAACAACACCTCAAGAATTCTGTTTTCTCTGAGAGGCATTTTTTTGTTATTTATTAAGTCTGCACATTTCTTTCAACTTATTTAATTCCTTGTACAATTTCCTCTCCTTTTTGCCTGTGTGTTATTTAAGTGACAGTTACTTGAGTTGGAAACAGCATTATTACAGTTTTCACAAATTAATTCTAGTAATAATAAGTTTGCCATTTTGTCTCTAATAAAAGAAACAGAGAAAACAGAGTTGTTTCATTTTGTTTTTCATACCTCCACTGGCCTTTTCCATGAAGACCCAAATGTTCAGTAAGACGAGAGAGTCTCAGGGACCTGCATTCCCCCGTCCCAAATGGTGCAACACCCAAAGACACATGAGAGCATATTCACCAAAAAACACGGAACGAATGACACAATGCCGTTAGGGTTAGGGCCAGGGCTAGGACTAGAGGGTTAGGGGGTTAGGATAGGATTATGTGAGCCTTATGTGAGGATTATGTGGGTTAGGGCACCTACCTGCTGCTCCTACCTACCGGCAGTCTACAAATTCACGGAGTTGTACGGCAGCTGTCGCCATGAAACCAACCCTTTATGAAGGTTTCCCCATGGTGGCTGGGGAAACTCTGCCAGATATAAATAATAAATGATAAATAAATTTATTATTATTATTATTATTATTATTATTATTATTATTATTATTATTATTATTTAGTGGATGTTTTCCGGACACCTTTGGCAGGCTTCATGACTACCCCGGGCAGTCTACGCCTCCCCCAGCACCCGGTAGACCGAGCAGCTCCAGCCTCCGCAGCAAGTAGGCCGGAGAGCACTCGTCTCCCCATCCCATGTGACTGGGTAGACCTGGAGGTGCCGGTAGACTGGGAAGGGGTCCTCCAAAGGGGACCAGGAAGCCCGAACCTCGCCAGTGAGTAGACCGGGCAGTCATTCCAGTCCCCACTGCTAGGTAGTTCCGGCTGGTAGATCAGGGTCACAATGGGGCTAGACCTGGTAATGCTGCCAACTCCTCCACCAGGTAGACCGGCGTCTCCCGGCACTGCAGTAGGTAGACCAGGTAGTTGAGTAGACCAGACAATGCTTCCAGTCCCTTCCCCCCAGGTCCCTTCCCCTCAGGTAGACTGGCTTTTGTTTTGTTCCTGTTTCTATCGTAATAAATGAAAATCTGCCCTTATTCCCTTATACACAAGAGTTCTTATAGAGTCCTTTGCAGGTTCTCCATCAATTGGAGAAAGGAAGAGAGGCCAACCAGAGAATATACAAAGCTGCTAGTAAGCCTGATCTTTATTGAACTGTTGCAACAGGGTGCCCCCTTCACACGCAGGAGGAGAGGACCCAGAACCTAGGTGTGCCCGCCCTTATATTGACATTTTTAATTGCCCGCCCTGGAGTCCAAGACCACCCCCCAGAAACACCTACACCACAGAAAGGGGTTGTCTACAACAGAAATCTGAGTGCGGTGTTTACCAGAAATCTGAGTTGTTAGCTGTTAATGCTATACAATAATGCTATACAAGTAAATAACTTTTGAATGTTTTTAAATAGCTCTTTTTAACTTTTTGTTGATCATTTTATCGATATCCGCTCTGAGGGTTTTTCTCATAGTCGAACAGTATATAAATGCTATGAAATGCACAAGAAATAAAGACGTTCTTATCTGATCACAATTGCATCCACACACCTATTTCCTCTGCTTAAATTGTGTTCTGTCTTTAATTTGGGAAGTGGGGCAATGAAACGGGAGCTGTTCAGCAGCAGAAAAATCCCTATTTCAGCAGCAGCACTCTGCCTGCTGCCAATCCCATATTTGCGGCCATGACGGTTAGGCACTTGCTTTTTGCAAAAAGCAAGTGTAATAAAAATTAGGGTGTATATATATATACACCCAAGAAGCCGAAAGCACCAGCCTGAAGATGACGAGTGAGACCTCGTCGAAACGTCGCCTAGACACCCCAACTTTTACACGGGAAGACACCCGAGGACACCAAAACCTGCATTCCTGTACCCGTGAAAATCTACGAAAGCATATATATATATATATATATATATATATATATAAAAAATAGGTAAAGGTAAATGTACCCCTGCCCGTACGGGCCAGTCTTGACAGACTCTAGGGTTGGGCGCCCATCTCAAGAGGCCCGGGGGCCAGCGCTGTCCGGAGACACTTCCGGGTCACGTGGCCAGCGTGACAAGCTGCATCTGGCGAGCCAGCGCAGCACACGGAAACGCTGTTTACCTTCCCGCTAGTAAGCGGTCCCTATTTATCTACTTGCACCCGGGAGTGCTTTCGAACTGCTAGCTTGGCAGGCGCTGGGACCGAACAACGGGAGCGCACCCCGCCGCGGGGATTCGAACCGCTGACCTTTCGATCGGCAAGCCCTAGGCGCTGAGGCTTTTACCCACAGCGCCACCAGCGTCCCTATATATAATAAATGTTCATAAATGTACCAATGTCTGGAGCAGCACAGGAAAACCTTCCTGAAACCATTTTGACTCCTTAAAACCATTTTGACACCCAAACTGACCAAATGTTTTCTCTTGCCTGTCTACACCTTGCCCAGTGCCCCCATGCTGGCTGACTTGGAGGACACTGACGATGAAGGAGATACTGCCGCACCTCGCCCCTTTGTCCATGGGAGTCCCCCTCTCCGCCCCCACTTGCTGCCCCACCAAAAGTTTCTGTGACCTTATACACGAGTCCCATCGACTCCCAGCTTCCCAAACTGCATGGTTTGAGTT